GGGGGGGGGGGGGGGGGGGGGGGGGGGGAGTGGGTCCAAATTTCTACCCCTAAACACTTCAACACTCCTTTCAGATCGTGTTTCACAAAATGTTACAGTAACAGAAAAACTGATTTTGTAAATATTGATAATTTTAATGAGAATAGTTTATTGTGAAATTTTCACATATTTTCGTTTGGTTCTATCTTGATATTCGAATATTAATCCAGTTAATTGATGTGAGTGATCTGTAGGATATGTTATCAATTCGAAATTTGAAAATCACTTTTTTTTTTTATATTAACATAACATTCATTTAAAAATATTCTCTTAATGTAATTTTTATTAAATCTTTACTAACTAGAAACCATTTCATTATTGCCTGCTGAAACAAAATCTTCAAATGTTTCTTCACAAGTACTAATAAATAATTCTTTAAATAGTATTCATACAATAAATATTCGACAACTGATTATTTATTTTATTTGGTTCACGTTATGCATCAAGTATCAATAGTGATCAATCCATGGGAGTTTGATCTATTCCGGTGTTTTTTTTGTTTTCTATTTAAGTTTTTATTGAATTAAAAAATGACTCTTAAAAAATATATCAATACAAATGAAAGTCATTTTCAAGTTGCAATACTCGATTTCTTTGTTCAATTACTTTTAATTCGTGTTAATTATGATGGATTACATGCTGATGAATTCCATTATATTTATAATCGCTTTATTTATTTTTCAAATAACATTTTCTTTCTCATATTATCAATCAACTTGAAATGATTGAATAAACTATGTCAAATTATGATATATCATCACATTTTGTTTTATTGTATTGCTAAATTTTTTGTTATGTTATCACATAATAGATTTCATTCAGAACAAGTTATTCAAGTAAAAGATTTAATAAAACATTGTGATTAATTAATAGCAAGTGGACATGAACTTGAAACATATGGTAGGAAACAAAAACAAAAAAAATAGGGTGTGGATGAGTGTCGGTAAAGGGAAGATTAACGTCCGCACCCACCCACACCCTCCGATAGATTATCTGATTGACAAGATCAAATTCGATTTTCAACTCAAATAAGAAGCACTTCAAAGTTGAAGAGATTATTCTTGAAATCGTCTGTTCTTTTTTTTTCCATT